ATCTAATAATTTTCATAGACAGTAAGTAGGGTAAGTGAGGGGAGGGGTGAGTAAGAGGCTAGCTGTAGGGCATGCATAAGGCTTTTCCCACCCTCCGGTCCCTATATAGTGGTGCCAGGAGGGAGCCGTGTTCCCAAGCTGTGTGAACTGTCTGTGCAAACAGGTGCACTCTTCTGGGGTGTGCCAGAGTTTGTGTAGGAATTCACACAGGAGAGTGCACAGGAGGGGCCTGAACTCTGTTGGCAGCCTCAGACAGAGACTTCAGGTAAGTGGAAGAAGAGGAGGCTTTAATCATGGTAAGGGCATGGAGTGCAACCAGGAACCCTGCCCCAGTGCTGCCTCCCACCCAGGGCTTCGTTGAGGCCTCCACCCAGATGGAGCCCTTGGCGGGGAGTCAACAGCACCCTGGCCCCCTGCCTGGCAGGGCCTCTGAGACCTGGGGGGCAGGGGGACCAGAAGTCCCCTCACCTATCCCATGTGTGCCCAGCTTGAGGCCCTGGAGGGGCAGGTGAGGGAACTCCAGGCAGAGTTTAAAAGGCTGTGGGGGATCAGGGCTGCTGAGGATGAGATTGATGGGTAATTTCATTCACTGCATGACTTCACACCTAGTAGGTGTGGTGGGCCAGTAGGGGGTGCTCCTGAATTGAGCCTCCCACCTCACTGCACCTGACCATCTCCAAGTTCCGAGTGGAGTGCCTCACATCTGGCTGACCCCCTTCTTGGACCACACACACAAGCCTGGGGGTAATGTCACCACCACCCAGAGTCTGGACTGATTTTGGACCTGCATCCTCTGGGAAACACAGGCCTAGTAGTCCTTGAGAGTACTTGACCCACTACAAGAACTTGGGGTGCATCCCTAAGTCTAAAGCACAAATAGTGGTCTCCCTTAGTCAGCTGAACCAAGGGGACCCCAAGGCATAATCTAGACCCACTCCCAATAAGTCTACCATGCTAGGTACAGAGGAGAACTTTATTGGTTACAAAGAGTAGGTTTGGAATAGAGTACAGGGTAGAGCAATATCAGAAAAAACCCATAAAGAAAACTGGCATGGCTGGGTAGCCTTTGATCACGCATCTGAGTTACTGCAAGTTGGATATCTAGTTAGATCAGGTATATTACTCATGCGTATCATCCAGAGGCAGGTGGAGATTCCCTCTGGAGGCAAGCAGTTCATTGAACACGAGTTTCAAGAGAGGCAGCAAGTTTTAGATGGTCCAGCTTCTTTGAGAGTTCTCATCATGGCTGCTGCCCTACCTCCTGGGCAGTTCTTAACTTATATAGACCGTATGACCTTATTTACCTGATCTAATGAATGCCAGCAATTTTTGGCTGCCAGCCAACCAGTTTGAAATGCATCACCTGTTGCTGGGTACACTGACAGGGTCTCTAGCCCCCTGCCAGTCAAGATGAT